AGTTACAATTCCCAGAGTCTCCTGTGAAGAGGAATTGTAGTTCTGTGAAGGGAACAGAGATCACCTAAAAACTCTCAGCACTACTAACAAACTATACTTCCCAGGATGTGGGGAAGCCTTAGCTGTTCAAAGCTATATGGTCTTGGTGACATCATCACGTTGGCTACAAGTAGTTGGGATTGGATTGTGATTTTGTGTGGGTCATTTTGAAAGAAAGAAAAAAAGAAAGAAAGAAAGAAAGAAAGAAAGAAAGAAAGAAAGAAAGAAAGAAAGAAAGGCAGGCACCTGCATGGATAGTATATAAAGAAGGATGAAAGAGGTGCAAACAAAATTTGTTTTCCAAGCAAGCATCACAGTACCTTGTAGAGGCCATGGCTGCATCCGCAGTAAGTGCTTTCCATGGTGTAGCTCCTCTGCACTCCTATTTCCCGCCAAACCACCACGCGGGCTGTCGAGTCACGTGACTTCTCTACCAGGAAGCTGCAGCTGCTCATGAGAAATACAGGAGCTACTTTGTCCAAGATCTTTGGCAGGGTCTGCAACACATACACACACACAATAAATCTATAATCATATAAATGTGTTCATCGTTGGATAAACCTACCACATTTTATCTACCTTTACAGCCACTTTTTTTTCCTCCAAGCAGCTCAAAATAGCACCCATGGGTTCTTCCCCTCTCCTCCAGTTTATCCTCACAACCACCCTGTAAGGTAGGTAAAGCTAAGAGACAGTGACTGGTCCAAGGTCACATCATGGCTGAGTGGGGATTTGAACAATGCTCTCCTAGGTTCTAGTTAACCACAACACCACACTGTCTATGACAGTGCATATATGAAACCTGTGATGTAGTGGTTAAGGGATTGTGGTGTGATCTGGGATACCCCCCAAGTTTAAATCTGGGAACTGGTCATAGCTCAGTGGTAGAACATCTTCTTGGCTTCTAGAGGTCCTAGGTTCAATCCCCAGCTTCTTCAGGTAGGGCTGGGAATGCCCCCTGTCTTAAAACCTGCAGGGTGACTTCCTGCCAGTGTAGGCAATACTGAACGTGGTGGACTAATGAGCTGACTTGATATAAGGCAGCTTCCAATATTCTTCTCTCATCTCAGTGATGAACCCATTGGATGTCCTTATGCAAACCAGTATCTCTTGACCTCAGTCTTTGTCCATCTGTATTGGTTGTTGCAGAATTGTTGCAATCCTCTGTTCAGCAACTGTTTGTCCTGGATGACTACTCTGGGCATGATGGTATCTCGGTCCTGCCCCCGCTTTCCACATACAGCTAGCTAAGTAGCCTGCCAGCAAATACTTCTTCCCAGGTACTCCATTCTACATATCTCTTTTCAGTTTCAGACTGACAACTAAAGCAACAGGCAGCAGCATTCAAGAAACCAGTTTTGGTCCAGAGGCTTCACGTTGCTGACTGATCCCCCTGCTGTAAGAATTGCTAAAAGTTTGCAATCGTTTAAAAAAATGAATGAAATACAAAAACAAAGGAGCTCCATTGGCTTCAGTCATTTTATTTATAGGAATGAATGGGAATTCAAATGAAGGAGTCCCAAATGTGTTTCAATAGCGCTGCTGGAACAGCCTGTACAGGCCACAAGAAAGGTTACAGAGAGGAGAAGGAAAAGAGCAATTAGGCTGTGATGGGGGGACCTTTTTAATTGCTTCTAAATAGGGAGCTTTTGTCCTATCTATCTGAAATTTGGTAGATCTGGGCGAGGAGCATAATGCTTTAAAAATTCATGCCAGCAGGATGAAAATAAATCACAAGCAACAGAAGACAGGCTAGATCTCCCACTGAAATCGTTGGAAAATAACACTGAATGGAAGTTACATAAACCAATTATCTGGTTCTGAATTAGTAGGAACAGAATAAAAGAGTAATGGGATGTACTAAACATTTAATAATGAAAATGTATGGCATAACTAACCAGGAAAAAAACCATTTTCTTACACGTCTCTGAGAGTTGAAGAGATAATGTACAGGAAACACTTCAAACATATAGGGAAAATACCATAAATGATATGATTGATGTGATTGGATTTATTGGACTTGTATATAGCTTTATATTCTGTACACACAAACCCCAACATACATATACACATATATGCACAATTTATTATATATATGATGCAATAAAACAAATTTAAACAATACACAATATCATTAGAATAACCATTGTAAGCACATGTGTATGTGTGTGCGCGCGCGCAAGCGAGCACACACACACACACACACACACTAAAGCCCAGACTAAGAAACTGTGACAGCACTATCATTAAAGCTGTCCATATGCCAAATGCCCTGAATTCATTCATTCATTCAAGGATTTATATCTCTCCCTTCTAATGCAATGCATTACTCAGGTCAGCTTTCAGCAATTAAAATATCACAATTCTTCATAAAACAACAGGACCGATCATGTAATGCAGTATAAAATATAGGAAGGTTCAGGAAAGGGGGTGGGGGGGACAGAATTCATCTGCTTGGAAAAGCAAAGCTCTCCAGGAAGAATTTTGAAAGTCTTAACCAAATCATCAGAAGTAGAGGCCTAGATGCACTGCATGGGGTAAGGTGTTCCACAACGCCATTACCAAAAAGGTCACAAACCTTCATGGGGGGCAGGCACTGAGAAGGGCATATGCACCAAAGCCACATTAACAGCAAACCTTTAAAACACAATGCTACCACTTTACACAGCCACATAACCTCCAAGTGTCCTGATTTTCCATGGATGGTCCCAGAATTGCGAAAGCCTTTATGTATTTGGTTTTAAATGTATTGCAAAGGCCTTTGTATCTTACGTAGTTTTGTATCTGTAAGTCATTTCAAGGCTTTTTGTGTGTGGAAGAGGTTAATGCGCATTCAAGTATTTATAATCTGCACTTCATAAGAGTAGAGGCACACGACACACAAGATTACAATATCAGTAAAAACATCGGCGCTCTAAATCATTGCGTCACACTGACTCTCAACATTCCAGAACACAGCAAAGCAACTTTAGAAGGCTTCTGAGTTGGGCTTTCTTGCTGGTCTGAGAAACCAGGAGACTCTGCTTTGCCTTGGTCCTCCTCTGCCACACACAAACCAGCTTAACAGGTGTCCAGTCCGAGCCCCCGCTGGATGAAAAGCAAACACAGGAACCATTCCCCAAGGCATGCAAATGCCTGCTAGTGTCACTCAGAATGCCCCTAGACCAGCCAAGCCAACCTGGTAGCCACACCGGCTGAGGTTGATGAGAATGGTCTGGTTGCCATTTCCATGCTGGACTAGATGGGCTGTGGGTCTGATCCAATAGGGATTTTCTTAAATTATTAGTAAGGTGGAGAGTACCTAATATGGATTCATGATATGGAGCTATTCTGATTTTCTTGTGAATTGCAACTAGAGATCAGCTGCGTCCTCCCCAATCTCTGTGTATCTGCCTCTAATTTAATAGATACACACACAAATAAATACTTTGTGCAAAACTGCTGGACTTTATACACTAAATGTTCTTCTGGAGAAAACGGTTACAATATCTATTAGGGGGCGACTTCAGCTCTGATATACACCTTCTTTCTTTACCTGAGCAAATATCGCCACCTATGGTTCCAAGAGGGAACAGGATTCTTTTCACAGATGAATTGTGCTTGTTTGCTTTCACATTTCATTATCATTGGTTGGTAGATTACCTGATGCTCTATTATTATTATTATTATTATTAGCCTGCAGCTAATATTGTCGGCTGACGGTAAAAGACTCTAACTCACTGCTTGGAAGAAACACACACAGATCCATGTGCATATTTTTTTTGCATTACTTACTGACAAAACAACAGGCATCCAGGCACATTGACATGGATCCTCTTACAAACACACTGCAAAGGCATGCTCAAGGTGTCGTTCAAGAGAAACAGAATAAATGCTATAATAATAAATAATAAATTTTATTTATATCCTGCCCTCCCCAGCCAAAGCTGGGCTTAGAGTGGCTAACAACAATAAAAGTAACACAGCATTCTAAAATCAATTCAAAATCAAATTAATGGCAATCGTTGGGCTAGAGTACTGTGAGGACATTGCCAAAACAAGAGGGAATGCAACACACACACAAAAGAGAGGATGGAAGAGGATGCTGGTTTGCCCATCACTTGCATATGCTAATTTGTTTTGAAATGGATGCAATAGTTTAAATGGAAATGCAATGCCTCTCACCTAGTGGAGAAGACTGTGACCAGGCAATGGCCCATGTGCCTTCTCAGTCTTCTGTCCAAACGCTGTTAACTGTGTTTGGGCAACTTCAAGGCCCCTACCCCTTATTCTTCTTAGGATTATTTTAACTGGACTTGTACCAGACAGCCCTTCAAATAAGAGAAATATCCTGTGTGAAGTTGAACACAGGACCAGCCTAATTTTAAGCCTTTGATTCTCTCATCCAGGCAGGTCAAAGGTGGGCAAATCTCCTGTTTCATCCCCATAGTTTGCTTAGGAAAACATTCACCAGCAGCTTAAGCTGATCCTGGAGCCTAACAGGCAAGGCCAGCCCAATCACAAATCAAATGCACAGTATCATAATGTGCATATGTCAATCATCCCCAGTCACCAAGCGTTCAATAACCCAGTGTAGAGGAGGAGTCAAATGATAGCCATAAATGCATGAGCCAGTTCTCTGCCTTGTACTAGCTGGGCAGCCTGAATTGTCTATGTTGTGTGTGTTTTTCTCTTGCAGTTCTGGCTGGACAGCTAGCTGATCACAGAAAAGGGCTTCCCTTGCTCCTATATCAACTTGAACCAAAAAATCTGCAAGTGAAGCTTTTTTGGCAGCAGGAAAAAAATAAGCATGGACACCTGCTCATACCTGCAGATAACAAAAGCAATGGGGACTTGGGAGAGGGTGGAATCTGGCAATGCTAAATTCCCACCTTAGCTCTTTAGATGCCTCAAGTTCCTTAAACAACATGTTTCAAAGACTGTTGGGATGCTCTTGAGGGTTTCAAACAGTGAGTCACTCCCAGCCCTACCTGGGAATACTGAAGATTGAACCAGGGACCTTCTGTATGTGAAGCAGATGCTCTACCACTGAGCTACCATGGTTTTGTTTAGTATAAAGGAATTGTTAGAGACTTTTAGTTCGTAGAAACTTGCCTTGGGCTTGGTGCAGTGATCACTGTGGTCCATGGCTTGAGCAGAGTGGGATGTTCTAAAGACACTCACCAACTTCCTCTCCCCTAGTTGCCATTCAGACAACATACACACAAATGCCCCCAAAACATCAGACCCACTCAAGCATCATCTGTGAAGGTCTGAAAATTTTCTTCTTGTCCTTGCCCAGCTGAGCCCAACCCAATGAAGGGATGATGAAAAATATATATGCAGATTCCCCAGCTCGATTCAGCTCCTTAAGACAATGGAAATTGTCTTTATAATCAACCTTTTTTATTTTAATTAAATAAAAAGGCTGGTAGGTAAGTGGAACATAAGTGTGTGGAGTGCTCATTTGTAAACATTAGCAAATACGAATTTAATATTCTGTTTGTTGTAACCGTGTTTCTCAGGTCTCAAGCTAATGGTTCTTTCCTCTCTGTTTATTTTCTCATTAATTATCTTTTAATTGTACATTTCCAACAAAAAACAGAAAACCAATTCCAACCAACCCCATACCAATAAACAAACAGATCTATTTGTAACAATGTGCCAAAATGACTGTTAAGGACAACTTTTCCTTTCTGTTTTCCTCAGATATCTCCAAGGAGGTCATTTAAAGCTAAAGAAGACTCACCTACAAAACCAACATTCCAGGAGCTCAAGGCAAGTTACATGGAATTTGCGAGCCCACGCACTAAACCCTGTCCCTGGAGCCTACCCCCCCCCCCAAATGAGACAGGACAACAATGTATGGGTTTAAATTAGGCCACAACTTTGTTGAATTTCAGGTTTAGGAACCTTGGCTTAGGCCTTGGCAGGTATCCCTCTCAACCCAACAGGGGCTGAGGATGTGCAGGGCAGTCAGGTGCAATGAGAGGGGACTGTAAAGCATGAACTTACACAGCATGCCCTCCCACTTCACCAAAGCCGGGCGTTTGACCTATATGCCGCTGCTCTAGGGCCAGTGACTCCCGCAATCAACCCTTTAATGGGCCCTGCAAATGCCGCAGCGTGGGGGTGCATGAAGATATTACCCCCATCTCGAAGATAGACTATAGGATACTGACCAAGACCTAAAAACCGCCAAAGTTGTGACAAATTGCTATGGGGAAGGCAAAACCTGCCAATGCAGGGAAATTCCTTCCCGGTTCTGAATACAGCAACTATCTCATGACCATAGCAGTGCCCGCTGACCTAGGAAGCAAGAGGTTAGCCTGCAAAAGGAGACCATGTTATATTTTTAAGGAGGGTTGAGTGGGTGAATCTAGCAGGAAAACAAAGTGAGTCTGGGCCGAAGAGCATCGGCCCACACCCCACCCCCAGCCGGCAGCTCATTGTCCTGCCAAGATGTGGGTGGGACGACGCCCACTCTGCAGCAAGGTGGGTGGCACCTGGCCAGGTAAGCCCATGCGGTGTCGCAAACCCTGCCCACCTCTTGGAGGGGTTGAGCGAAAAATTTGGCAGTACAAAAGCAGGGACTATCCAGTTAGTAAAGGTAAAGGTAAAGGTGAAGGGACCTCTGACCGTTAGGTCCAGTCGCAGACGACTCTGGAGTTGCGGCGCTCATCTCGCTTTACTGGCCAAGGGAGCCAGCGTACAGCTTCCAGGTAATGTGGCCAGCATGACTAAGCTGCTTCTGGCAAACCAGAGCAGCACATGGAAACGCAGTTTACCTTCCCGCCAGAGTAGTACCTATTTATCTACTTGCACTTTGATGTGCTTTCGAACTGCTAGGCTGGCAGGAGCAGGGACTGAGCAACGGGAGATCACCCCGTCGCGGGGATTCAAACCGCCAACCTTCTGATCGGCAACCCACAGCATCACCCCCATCCCTATAAAGTTAGTAGGCTGAGGGTTAATGCTGTTTACAGTTAGCCAACCAAAAGGGATGTGTGGAGGTGTTGCCTATAAGTCAGGACCCAAGGTAGCCTCAGTCTACTTATGTGTGGAGTCAAGGGCAGAGCTCTGGCATTGTGTAGAAAGGCTATCTGTGGAGCTCTCAAGAAGGAAAGAGGATACTAGGTAAAGACTGCATGATGCATTTTATGGGCTGGTGGGTCACACCTGTCGGGAAACAGGTTTCATAACATGTGGGTGTCAATGTTTAAAGCCTTCACTGTCAGACTGCAGCAGAAGTTTGCTCGTGGCTCATCCATTGCGGATTCAAGGCACACACCTCGATTGCTGGAAGGCAGCCCTTTGATGCTCTCTATATGCTTGCCAGCAATCCCCGGTTTCCTAAAGTTTGGCGGCAACAAAGCTCCAGAAGATATGCTGACGACGAGCTTTTCCCCCACCTTGCCGTCCCTCACCCCGCCAACACTATCTTGCTCAGGCTGAGGAACACCGTGTGAAATATTTCCTCTGGTCAATGTTTCAGGCTCACAGTGTGCTCTATTAAGATCACTTCGGGAAATGCTTTCACTTTCAATTACAGCAGGTGCAGCTAACCCTTAGCACTGCAAAGTGGGAAAGCAATGCACACAGCCAAAGGTATTTACAATAATTTTATTCACCCCCCACACAAAAGGTGGCTCCAAAAAAAAAAAAGAAGAAAGAAAATCATTCCATCTCCCACCACCACCTTGGTTCCCCATATTCATTTTCCAACAGATGCTCCATCTGCACTATACATTTTAAAGCAGTATAATGCTACTTTAAATAGTCATGGCTTGCCCCCTGGGAGGAGTAGTTTGTTAAGGGTGCTGAGAGTTGCTAGGAGATGCCCTATTCTTCTCCTAGACCTACACTTGTCAGAGTGGTTTAACTGTCAATCCCTCTTCTCAGAGAACTCTGGTCATTGTAGCTCTGGGAGGGGAATAGGGATCTCCTAACAACTCTCAGCCACCCTTAACACACTACACTTCCCATTATTCTTTGGGGCAAGCCATGACTACTTAAAGTGGTAGGATATTGCTTTAAATGTATAGCACACATGGGGTCAGATAAACAATATTCCATGCTGCTGAGCAGGCTTTGTTCTCTTTTGGAAGTGTTTTTTGCAAAGTGGGTGGAGAGGCTACTTGTCTTCTTAGGTTATAGGGGTTTTGGGACTTGTAAAAAACCTCAGGGTTCTGAACATGCTGGCACCGCTTATCTGTTTCTCAGTGGCTGTGTGGTTTCCTCTCTGTTGAAATTCTTACCACCTGAGTTTGTTATTCTATAACTGTTATGTACTGAGTTGAATAGGATCCAAAAGGCAGCAGTCTGATTGATCCTAGAACAATAGGTTCCAGAATAGAGGAATATGATTGGTCCACAGGAGCCACCCAATCCAGCTCCAGGTGGAAATGAATCCGCAACCAGATTGGCCTACAGGTGAATCCCGGAATTAGCCAATCACGTGGGGCCCGTTGTGTAAATAATTTAAATGAAGCAGACATTCTGGGGGAACTTCCATTCCTCCTCACCACTATGAGCTAAATAAAGAGCATGAAATCCACTCTCGACTCAGAGTATATTTCAATAACATAATTAAAAAATCAAAAACAAGAAAGTCCAGGGCTGTCTCCAGACTAGGGATGTTGGAGAATTCAGAAGAAAACAGAAAAAGGAAGTAGAAATTGCTGTAGTTCATGTGTTTGTCTATGGTCAGGAACAGAAATCAGGCAAGCGAATACGATCAATATTTGCTCACCTCTTTGTTGTTTAATTGTGTCTGCAAATGAGATGTAATTAATGACTTTTTTTACATCGCTTTGATGTTTCTTTTACATTGAAATTAGTGTGAGCTGATTAAGTTATGTAAACAGTTATAAAAGCCATGTTAAGTAGCAGACAAGGGCACAAATTATATTAATAGTTGGTGGAAATCGAATTGCAGCAGAATGCAAACAGTGCTGATTATGATGAATACAGGTCAGAACAGAAAGCGCTTCTTAAATCCCTACTCAAGACTGTATTTTCCAGAAGGTAGTCAAGCACATATCAGGAAATGTAGGTTTGCCCAATTAAAGTAGGTTAAAGTGTTCTGTCATGCAACCACAAAAGTTCGACTTTGAAAAAGAAATAGACTTTTTCCAATGGAGGATTGAATCAACTATTGTGGAATGAATGAACAATTAACAGGAAGGTGTATGAATTCCCTGCAAGCAAATCAGGATGGATGCAGGATGAATACTCATTGTCAAATAACCTCCCTGCAAACAAATCAGAATGAATTCTGAATAAGGATCAAATACCATTTCACCTCTGTGTAAGCTTTGCGCAAGCAAATCGGGACAAATGATCAACAAACAGGTCACTCAGAGGAGCAGCAGGGCAGTTTCACCTGGAATTTCTGTGCAGAAGTCTGTACTATAAGAAGAACGTCTTACCCGGTATCCAACATCCTCGGTGACAACAGTCGTATCAACAGTACGTCCCGCCTGCCACAAGGTCTCCTTTATACTGCATCCATATAGAAATGCATTCTTCTTCTGGGAATGGCCGTGGTAGTCGCAAAACACCTGAGGATAAGAGAAAAAGAAAGCTCCTAAATCTTGCTGTCTTGCAGGAGAGAGCTGAGTAGTTGCTAAGAAACCACTACTGGGCCAAAGAGAAAGCTGTTCAAAAATGAAGCCTGGCCTGGTCATCTGTGCTGAATACAGCATTGCCTCTGGGTGACCATGCATGACAGTAAAGGACATTGTTTCTGTTGGGGGAGGCTGATAGGCTAGCAATGACTAACAAAGGCACAAGAGAGGTTAGCAACAATGGATCCATTCCCACCTGGATGACCGATTCCAGTAGTTTTGTTTATTGCTATGCTGAAGTTTCTCTCTCTATTTTTCCCCAGCCATTCTTCGGGTGATTTGTGGAGAATCAAAGCCCCTCCAAAAATGTCTTAGAGAAAAAGAATTTTCTCCAAAATCTGCACACAATTGTTCTAAATACATTAGGATTTAAGGATTGAATGGATGAGGTGTTTGGTGGTTTGGGGCTCTCTCTCATTCCCAGTGTGATGG